ATTTGAATAGTAGTTTAAAGCCTAATTAGATACAAATGTGTATCTTTTCATATTACATAGGAACCTCGCACGCGTTTAAGCCCCAATCTGACACTTAGCATCCCAAACCGACACGCTTCTCAACCGGTGAGTTCATACCCTTACGTTTTTCCATGTTTTCAATGTTTTCAGGGGGGGGGGGGGAATACAAGCAAAAGTACAAGGAAATCTTGTACTCAAACTTATGATTTCATTTGATCTATTTCATATTTCGTATTCTTTTAACACGGAAAACTGTATTAACCAATCGTTCAACTTGCAGAGTAAACCGTCATGTTATTTGTGAAACTCGTTTTAAAATGTTATATTTTATTTTTCACAAATGTATTTCCGCATCATTACTGTTAAAAGCATGAATCTTAAAACTTTAGAATGTTCTTGATATAACTCCCCGTAGATACGAGAGTGCAGGAATAATAACATTAAACTTAGAACTTTACCACTCCCCATAGATACGAGAGTGAAGGAATAATAACATTAAACTTAGAACCTTACCACTCCCCCTAGTTACGAGAGTGGTGGAATAGTAACATTAAACATAGAACTTTAGACAAGTCCTTGATAATACTCCCCCTAGTTACGAGAGTGAAGGACTAAATAAATAGAATTTCCCGTTTTATCATCTTTTAATTCATTAGTCTTAAGATTGGAGACACGTCCTTGTAACACTTCCCCTAGTTACGAGAGTGTAGGACTACCCCCGTAACCAGAATCTCTTGGAGGGAGAACGTGACTTGAGTGTATAGATCTATACGCGATTGACAACCCCGCACCTGGCTGCTAGCTATAGTCGAACCGAAAGGTTCAAGGGTGACAAAAGTCATAAAAAAATATTGGCCCCTGTTTCGAGCCTTATCCAGTCTATAATATGGTTATGGAACTCGCAATTTAGTTTATGAATACTTTTATACTTAGTTATTAGTTTTATATACGTGTTAAAACTAATGTACTTTACTAGGATAATCAGGTTTTCAGGAAATATCACACGAACACATAAAGCATGGTAGACACTTGTACTTTACTTTCAGAAACCGATAATCAACTATAAACTTTTAAGGAAAATAAGGGTTTTTCCTGGGATAACAAACTGTACATAACCGGATTGTATAACAAACGGATAACTAAACTATAATTATAAGAACATATGGGATTTTCTTGAATAACAAACTTTTTTGGAAAACCAAAGGAAACTTGTACATTTTCAGAAAACAAACCTCTTATGAACTCACCAGCTTTATGCTGATTTTTCCTGGGATAACAAACTGTACATAACCGGATCGTATAACAAACGGATAACTAAACTATAATTATAAGAAAATATGGGATTTTCTTGAATAACAAACTTTTTTGGAAAACCAAAGGAGACTTGTACATTTTCAGAAAACAAACCTCTTATGAACTCACCAGCTTTATGCTGATTTTCAAAATGCTTGTATTCTCACGTCCACATTAGACAGGTACCCAACGATTCTTTTGGAGAAGACGGAGCGTATAGAAGACTCGTCTTTACTTTTGCTCTTATGATATATATGTATAACACATGTAACTCTTTGTTTTTAGACAATGTAAATGAATCTATGTAATGTAATGTTTTGTGTTTACTATGCTTACTATGTACAATGGTTGCGATACACATGATGTCCTCCGTCCCGGAACGTTTCCGTCTTTGGTTTCGGGGTGTGACACGTTTGTTCGTTCGTGTTCATTTATTTGTTAAACGAACATAAACAAAATCATTCGTTTATATGTCAGTGTTTCTTCATTTGTTGCCTAAATAATTATATTATATCTTAGTGGCAGGAACGTCTTGAAGATTACTTTCACTTATTGCTTCTTTAGTGAGAAATGTGAGCTTCGATATAATATAATTATTTTGACAACAAATGAAGAAACACTGACATATAAACGAATGATTTTGTTCATGTTCGTTTAACTAATAAAACAATACGAACGAACAAAATAACAGACGGTGTTTGTTTATCTTCGTGTTCGTTCGTTTACGTTAGTCGGAACGAACACGATTTTCTTTTTCGTGTTCGTTCATTTAACAAATTTTCTTGTTTATGTTCGTGAGCATACTAACGAACAAAGATAAACAAACACAATTGAATTTATATGAACATAAACGAATATATAATATGGTAATATAATAAAAAAAATGAACATAAATGAATATAAATAAATTAAATGAACACACTTAAATGAGCATAAATAGACATCATAAGCGAATGTTCGCGAACATAAATAAACGAACAATATCATTATTTATGTTCGTTCATTTAACTAAACGAACTATTTGTTCATGTTCGGATTATTGTTTTAATTTGTTTATTCGAAAAAAGGTCAAAAAATCATTATATAATTTAAACGATCAAAACGTTAAAAAAAATAATATTAAAAATATATTTAAATAAAACATCAAAAACATTAAAATATTTTTACACCACAAAAACAAAGATAAATAAATAAAGAAAAAAAAATAAATAATAATAATAATAATAATAATATGATTTTATATAATTTAGATAATTGATTTAAAAAATAATAATAATTTTATAAATAATATATATTAATTCTACTAAAATAAAGATAAAAACAATAATATATATATATATATATATATATATATATATATATATATATATAATAAATTGGTAAAAGAAAAATAAAAAAGAAAGAAAGGGTAATTTGCTCTTTTTATATGGACCAAAGACCACCTGCAGTGCAATTTTCACAAACCATAAGGATGTAACCTATTAAATTTTAAACTTAGGGACCAAAACTAAGAATTCGACTAAACCACATGGATCATTTCTATATTTAATCTAATACTTATATCTCTTTTTATTCATTTATGTATAATATAATATAATTCATAGATATTTGTGTTAATACAATGTTCTCCGTAAGGGGTTTAACAATTATAAGTCATAAAGTTATAAGCTTTTTAAATAAGGATTTTCTAATATGTGTTCTAAGGACATATATAATAAACATTAATTGAAAATATATATTACCATAATTAATTATAAAATACATTAATAATAAGAAATATTACCATAATTACATGTGGAGTGCATTAATAATTTCCATATTAAATGTATTTCGAATTTAGTTATGATAATATTTTTTATAATTAATACTTCTTATATGTGCCCTTAGGGCACATATTAGAAAATCCCTTTTAAATAAATATAAATAAGCTTTGCTAAACACCCTCTAAGTCTATATAATCTGATGATCTATTTCACGCGGAATGGCTAAGTATATCTCTACTCTTTAAATTTGATTTCATGCTCAAAACGTCAAGTCTCTCTCGAATCAAAATATATGGTTTTACATAGGGTTAAAGGCCGAATTTGGGACGTAAGCTTGAAGCATTATGTGCTGCGATTCTTCCTAGTTCTTTATTCAATGTTTGTAACGCTTTTGATTTCACAAGGGCTGCAGGGGACATAATTCGATTGAGACCTTAGATGGGTATGAACCCTCCCCCAACGATTCATTCCGCCTGTTGAGTGTTGACTAATTAGGTAATTTTTCTTAATACTGATGATCTTTTTCTCTATTTCTATCGTTTACCCTTTCTAAGGCAGACTGAAATAAGGTACGTGTGTTGAGAAAGAATCTCCTCCAATGCCCGAATAGAGAAAATAGGGTGTGGATGTTTAGTGGTGCTCTTAGTTGAAACTTTCTATGTTTCTTGTTGCAGCTCTTAGTGATTTCATTTACATTGTATATGCAGAACCAAAATCAAAAGGAACAAGCATCAATGGTTGTTTAGACCTCTTATTAAACATGTTTAAAAGCTCTTTTTTACACCTAGATTTTAGAATTTAATCCACTCTTGATATTAAAAGGATTGAATTAATATGTGTTTAAAAGCTCTTCAAACTATACTTTCAAAATTTTCTTATTAGAACATAATACTTTGAAAATCTACCAAATGTAGCAATGTATTTTCAAGATTCAAATTTTTTCTTATTAGAACATTATACTTTGATTGATATACCCATTACCCGGTCAGAGAAGTGAAATTGCTTTGTATTTTAATTGTATTGCAATAGTTGGCTAGACTTTTTTAGTACAATGTTTTAACAAGAGTAAATGAAAGTAGGATGTACGATAAAAAAAAACAAATGAAAGTATGTTTCTAACTCATACATTTAACCCCAACATACATATGTCATATTTCTTAGCATCTTATTTCTGCAAACCATTGAATTTAACTTTTTCATGGGAAAAGATCAAGAGAAGATATGAAATTAAGATGAACCAAGTTATTTGAGTCTTTTCAATTTATTGCTTACTAAAATGTAGAAAAATACTGAAACTTCAGTAATGAGGCACCCAACAAAACAGTTAAGATATACAAGTATCAATTAAAATCCATAACACTTCCATCTCCATTGCAATTATGAGACCAGATCAAAAAAAAATAGATGGCCTATTTACGGATCAAATGAAGGTCAATTAACAATATTCACTTCAGCTGCCAAGATTGTTGAAGAGCGAAATCTATCTAATGCTCTATTCTCCATGATCAGTGCAATAAAACTACTTTGGCAGCTGCCCATGATTAGTTAACATATTATCACCACCCATGATTAGTTCCAAAAAAAAAAAATAGTTCATAAAGAAATGTGTGTTATGTTTCATGTCCAGTTCTATTAGCAGCATACACACAACAATAAACTTGTCCCTCTATAAAATAACATAAAGAAAGTTACCTGTGGAAAATTTCCTTTTTCTATTATAAGTCACTGGATTAGTAGAGACCCATCATATAAACCTTTTCCAAAGTCGAGACACTGACCACCTAACTTAATTTTTGGGTTTTTGGCTAAAAAATAATTATTATCGTCTACAACAAGACCAAAAAGACCACCTTTTAATTCAGAGTACAATGATCAACTAGAAAACAGAGAAACTACAATAGTTCTTAGTGAAATGACTTTTATGGCAACTTTAAAACCTGAAACCTATCAAAACTCTATTCACAAACAATTAAGGTTGCAATCAACACACATATGAGACGATTCATAATTTTCAAAACTACAATCTTATTGTTAATCAGGATACGGTTTAGATTGATCCATGAAAAATCAGAGTGGTAAGCTAAAATTATATTTCAAAATACAAAACATTTAGCTCTAAGTCTAAAAACAAAGTTACAAACAAGACCTACGGATCAATATTTGATTGTTCCATTAAATGAAGAATGGAACAAATTTATTATCAAAATCTTGCAGTTCAAATGACTTTTGGAAAGTCCCAACCTAATATCTCTTGAGCTATGGTTCTAATGGAGATCACTTCCAACTCATTCTCTTTGTCCACTATGTGTTTCTTCTTTTGAAGAAGTCTCACATTGATTTCAACTATTAACAATGCTTCAATCATCAGGAATCCCCAACACAAAGTCAAAGATATTGAACTTGGAATCAACCATTCTTCTACCGGTATCTGCACACACATTTCAAGGTGAACACATAGATTATATTGTGGATGATAAAAGATCAGCCGTTTCTAAATTGTAATATAATGTGGAAAATAATGTTGATACATACATACATACATACATTTATACACATGTATATTCATACATAAGTATCAGACTAATCTAAGATATAGCAACGTACTTTCATTTATTGATGTAGTATGGCCTCCCACATTCATTTCATTTGATTACAACATGTTCCTTTGTTTTTCTTATTAAAGCAATGTACTTTGAAAAATCTACTCAAGTTAGCATTGTACTTTCAAAACCTTTTCTTATTAGAACACTATACTTTGAATGATCTACCCAAATATAGCAATGTACTTACATTTTTTTTCTTATTAAAACATTATGCTTTGAAAAATCTACCTAATTATATTCTTATTTGAACATTATACTTTCCAGATATAGCATTCTACTTTCTTTTCTTATTAAATATTACACTTTGAAAAGTCTACCCAATTATAGTATTGTACTTTTAATTTGTACTTATTAGAACATTATACTTTGAAATTCTGCATAACAAGAGCATTGTACTTTCAACTATTACTTATTATTATACATTTATACTTTGAATGATCTAGCCAGTTATAACATTGTACTTTCAAGTTTCATTTTTTTTTCTTATTTAAACATATACTTCAATAAATCTACCTGAGTGTAGGCTTAATCCATTTTTTCAGCATCTCTTTTCTGCAAAAATCATTGAATTTAGCTTTTTAAGAGAAAAAATCAAGAGAAGAGAACAAATTAAGACGAATATTGTCTTGCATGTATAGTACTTTATTTTCTTTTGATTATTAATTTTGATTTGTGGGTGAAATTTAGTTACCGTCATATCAATTTTATTATTTAAATCAGTGTGACATGATCAATAAAGAACACAGAAAGTACCTGTTACAAAGCATCAAAAAATTCATCGCTGGAGACTTCTACTGTGGGCAAATATACGTAGCAGTAATATAGTGAGCCTCGTATCTCCGATGTAAACCCACACGACTCAAGAAGTTCCCTCGACCCGTAGATACGCAGACCTTTTACCAAAAGAATGCTCTGTGGAAGATGAATTATGCTTGTACCTCGTACACATAACTCTCTTAAATGTTCTAAACGTCCAAGTTCCTCAGGTAACTTTTCAAGCAACAAACAATGATCAAGTTCGAGAGAAGTTAAATGTTTCCACATACAAATGTTATCCGGTAGATGCTTAATCTTCAAAGATGACAAAGTGAGCTTCCTTAAACTTTCTAATTCGCCAATACCCTCGGGTAACTTTTCAAGCAACAAACAATGATTAAGTTTGAGAGAAGTTAAACGTTTCAACATACAAATGCTATCGGGTAGATGCTTAATCATCGCAGATGACAAAGTGAGCTTCCTTAAACTTTCTAATTCGCCAATACCCTCGGGTAACTTTTCAAGAAGCCAACAGAATATAAGTCTGAGAGATTGCAGATGGTTCAACATACAAATGCTATCCGGAAGATGTTTAATTGTTGTAGATTGCAAAGTTAGCTTCTCTAAACATTCTAACCGGCCAAGATCCTCAGGTAACCTCTCAAGTAGCAGACAATCTATAAGTTCAAGAGATTTCAAATGTTTCAACATACAAATGCTATCTGGAAGATGTTTAATTGTTGTAGATGACAAAATTAGCTCCTCGAGAGATTCTAACTGGTCAAGATCCTTGACTGTCTCTAGAAAACTGCCTTTGAGTTTAAGCTTTCTTAAACGTCGTAACCCACAAATGTTTTGTGAAAATGTCTCAAGGTTTGTGCAAGCACACATAACTACAGAAAGAAACATCTCAAGATTTGTAGGAAATGAGGTTCGATCTTCTTCATACAAACACTTAAGGCAAAACTTTGGCAAGTTATTGTCGGGGTGAAGCGGGCATCTTTCTAAGGTCTCCACAATCAGCACTAATTTAGCTGAAGGACCAACCTCAAGTGATTCATCCACACTACAAGAAGTATAATCAACTATGTAAAACAAAAAAGAGCTAAACCCCAAACAACCACTTAAGTCTAGATGGACAAGCTTGTTTAGACATCCAATGGGAGTGCGAAGTTCTACCAATTTATGACACTCTTTGAGAGATAGCTTCTTGAGATTTGGAGTCATCCCAAGGTCAAGGGTCCTCAATTTTGAATGACTAATTTTTAGTACGGCGAGCTTTTGACATTCATTGGCCATGTGAAGTTCTTCCAAACAACGAGATTCTTGAAGATTTAACGTATCTAGATTTGGAGTCATCCCAAGGTCAAGGGTCCTCAATTTTGAATGACTAATATTGAGTACGGCGAGCTTTTGACATTCATTGGCCATGTGAAGTTCTTCCAAACAACGAGATTCTTGAAGATTTAACGTATGTAGATTTGGAGTCATCCCAAGGTCAAAGGTCCTCAATTTTGAATGACTAATATTGAGTACGGCGAGCTTTTGACATTCATTGGCCATGTGAAGTTCTTCCAAACAACGAGATTCTTGAAGATTTAACATATGTAGATTTGGAGTCATCCCAAGGTCAAGGGTCCTCAATTTTGAATGACTAATATTGAGTACGGCGAGCTTTTGACATTCATTGGCCATGTGAAGTTCTTCCAAACAACGAGATTCTTGAAGATTTAACGTAGGTAGATTTGGAGTCATCCCAAGGTCAAGGGTCCTCAATTTTGAATGACTAATATTGAGTACGGCGAGCTTTTGACATTCATTGGCCATGTGAAGTTCTTCCAAACAACGAGATTCTTGAAGATTTAACGTATGTAGATTTGGAGTCATCCCAAGGTCAAAGGTCCTCAATTTTGAATGACTAATATTGAGTACGGCGAGCTTTTGACATTCATTGGCCATGTGAAGTTCTTCCAAACAACGAGATTCTTGAAGATTTAACGTAGGTAGATTTGGAGTCATCCCAAGGTCAAGGGTCCTCAATTTTGAATGACTAATATTGAGTACGGCGAGCTTTTGACATTCATTGGCCATGTGAAGTTCTTCCAAACAACGAGATTCTTGAAGATTTAACGTATGTAGATTTGGAGTCATCCCAAGGTCAAAGGTCCTCAATTTTGAATGACTAATATTGAGTACGGCGAGCTTTTGACATTCATTGGCCATGTGAAGTTCTTCCAAACAACGAGATTCTTGAAGATTTAACGTATCTAGATTTGGAGTCATCCCAAGGTCAAAGGTCCTCAATTTTGAATGACTAATATTGAGTACGGTGAGCTTTTGACATTCATTGGCCATGTGAAGTTCTTCCAAACAACGAGATTCTTGAAGATTTAACGTATCTAGATTTGGAGTCATCCCAAGGTCAAAGGTCCTCAATTTTGAATGACTAATATTGAGTTTGGTGAGCTTTTGACATTCATTGGCCATGTGAAGTTCTTCCAAACAATGAGATTCTTGAAGATTTAACGTATCTAGATTTGGAGTCATCCCAAGGTCAAAGGTCCTCAATTTTGAATGACTAATATTGAGTTTGGTGAGCTTTTGACATTCATTGGCCATGTGAAGTTCTTCCAAACAACGAGATCCTTGAAGATTTAACGTATCTAGATTTGGAGTCATCCCAAGGTCAAAGGTCCTCAATTTTGAATGACTAATATTGAGTTTGGTGAGCTTTTGACATTCATTGGCCATGTGAAGTTCTTCCAAACAACGGGATTCTTGAAGATTTAACGTATCTAGATTTGGAGTCATCCCAAGGTCAAAGGTCCTCAATTTTGAATGACTAATATTGAGTTTGGTGAGCTTTTGACATTCATTGGCCATGTGAAGTTCTTCCAAACTATCAGATTCATTAATATGTAACCACCTGAGATTCGGCGTCAGCCCAATGTCAAGGGTCCTCAAATTTGAATCGGTGAGTGTTAATTCTATTAGATTTAGACATCTTCCGGGCAAGTGAAGTTTTTCCAAATTGTTGCATTCAGAAAGAAGCAACTTTTCAAGATTTGGAGCCAGCCGAAGGTCAAGGGCACTCAACCTTGAACCTTCAATGTCAACAGAGGTGAGCTTTAAACATCCAACACTCATATGAAGTTCTAGCAAATCATTGCAATCATGAAGAGTCAATGTCTCGAGATTTGGAGTAAGCCCAAGGTCAATGGTACTCAACCTTGAACAACTGAGGTCAAGAAATCTGAGCTTGTTAAAGACCTAAAATAAGCAAAAAACAAAATGAATATTGGTGTAATAACAGAACAATGTATGTATAACATTATATAATGAATCATACAGATCAATCGATCAACCATAATTTTACCTTACTTTCTCCACCTTCCCAAAGTTGTACAATTCTGCTGCGAAACATTTTAAGTGCAACAAGATTATTTGCTTGAAACATTGTGGGTAAAGAACTAAAAGGGTAATAGGTCCAATCCACATATCGTAGAGCATTTGGGAAGTCTAAGCCGGCCATACTAAACTCCAAATCACTGGAAGAATCTCCAACAATGGAAAGAAATCTAAGTTCCTTCATCTTTCTCAAGCCTTTTATAAAAATATGTGGATTGAATTTCATAGAGTGGAATTGTATACACCTTGTTGCTTTAGTACCCTGCAATCCAAAATAAGTCACCATGAAACTTGTGTCATAATAACTATATATGTGTTGGGTTTTTTCTCTACCAAATATAAGTAAACATTATCCTTACCAAATCATTAGCTAATATCTCACCAATTTCATCTTCAACCCACAATCGGCTATGATTGTGAGGCTCATCCGGGTGCCCACGACGAACAATATTCCTGCCCATTTCTTCAATATGGTCATGCATGCCTAGGCAATCATAATACATAGTTATGAGAGATTTTTGTTGAAGAACTCTTAAACCATTTCTAGCATGAAACCCACAACATTCAAGCGCTTTGATTGCATCATCTATCTCCCAATCTTTCATGATGCATGCAACATCTAGAAACATTTCCTTGTAATCCTCCTCTAGAGATATATAGCTTATTTCCAACTTTTTCAAAGTTTGTGTTTCCGGAATCGTTTTTAGTCTTTCTAGGGCATCTATCCATTCAAGCTCATCTTTTCCACAAAGAAACGAACCCAAAACCTTAATCGTCAAGGGAAGACCAGCCGCGTAATGTACAACTTGTCTTGATAGCTCTTCATACCCTTGAATTGGAATATCTCTCCCAAATGCAAACCTACTGAAGAGGCAAATTGCCTCCTCATATGATAGCAGATTGACATCATGAATGAACTTCACTCGGTGCGCTACCAGCACTTGCTCATCTCTTGTTGTAATGATAATTACACTTCCCGCCTTAAACCAGTTAGGATCACCTGCTAACGCCTCAAGTTGGTTTATATGATCAACATCATCTAGAACAACAAGACCCTTCCTATTTGGCATCCTCCTCTTCATCATGTGTTTCCCTTCATAAACACCACTTACTTTGATGTCTTTATCATTTAAGACATCTGAAAGGACTTGATTTTGTAACTGCGTTAAACCGGACAAAGAATCTTTTTCCCTGACATTTTCAACGAAGCTTGTACCTTCAAAATGAAAGGATATGTGATCAAAAACAGCTCTTGCTAAAGTTGTCTTTCCACCACCTCCCATGCCCTTGATCCCGATCATGCGCACATCGTCACAACCAATCCCTAAAGATGGTACAAGATCTTTGATCCGGGTCTCCATTCCGACTAGCTTTTCATCAATGTGGAAACTAATGGAACGTAACTCTAGTGAAACCACCTCAACTATTTTTCGTATGAATTTAGCTTCATGCCTGCATTTTAAAGAAGATTCAGTTAGCTTACTCAAAATCCCATATGACCTGTCACTTTCAGATCTATAATTAACATATGAAAAATTACGTATTAAAATTTGACAATCTAAGATGCCATATAAGAGCCATTTATATCCAGGACTCCAGGTTATTCACTAGATCAAAAAGATTCAAAATATTGCAGAGATCTAATGAGAGAATTACCCGTCATCAGTGTTCTTCAACTCCCACCCAGCCAGATCTGCCGCTTCTTTGAGAGCCTTTCTCCATATTCCAGCAGCCTCTTTATTTTTAAGGATGTCAAAGGCGTCAGCCACTGCCCCCTCTTGTTTCCGGACTTCCTGTGGTTCCACATCATAGAAAACGGGGTAAGCGGTATGCTCGTTCGTCTTCTGACACTCCATTATCTTAACAAGTTCATTCAAGCACCAAGATGAAGAGGCATATCCCTTGGAGAAAACAATGATGTAGAATTTGGAGTCTTCAATGGATCCGATGAGCTCATCAGTGATGTTTTCCCCTTTTTTGATTTCTTCGTCGTCCTTGTAAGTATGAATGCTTTTTTGCTTGAGAGCATGATAAAGATGGTCAACGAAGCTCGTACGAGTGTCTTCGCCCCTGAAACTCAAAAATACATCATACTTAAAGATCTTGCGAATGGATGAAGTTGAAGAAGACGCCATTGAAGGTGTGATTGAAGGATCCTGAAAAAAATCAAATCTTTGTTAAGCAAAGTTAAAATGATTGCGAAGAAATTTGGATGAGATGAATCTGGATGATCATCGTAAGCAGATTAAGAAGATAGAAGATAATGTGAGATGGCGATGGGTGTGGCTGGAAGACTTTTGGACTTCTGTGGAGAAAGCCAGACCACTTGTTTGGTCAAGGAATGTAAATTTACTTATCAGATCGCATTTCTAGTTGCATGTGTCTTTCACTTAATTATAACAGTTTTATTAAGAGTTATATATTAAGGCATAACGGTTGTGAAAAATATTTTACCATATTTACCATTTTTGTCAGGGAGATAAATGGAAGTGGGCTGAGTTTCAACTTTAAGCACGTCTCTGTATTTCCCCTTGGTTTCTTACTCTTTTTTAGTGGGGATATCGACTAAAAAAAGTAAGATGCAGTTTGACTTGGTATAAATATTTACAGTTTCTGTACAGTTTACTTTTGAGAGCATTTTGAGAGTAAATTGCTGTGTAATCATAAGGATTTGATACTTTTATTGATAATCACAACACAACGATATTCTTTTGTTCAAACTAAGATAAAATATATGATTGTTCATTCTATTAGAAAAAAGATGTTTGTTTTATTCATAACTTTGATATGGTTAGTATTACATTTTCTTCCTTTTCGTTTGATTTATCATTACTCGACCACTAGTGATTTTCTTGGTTTATGAATGGATTTAAAGGCTAGGGTGGAGGATTTATTTAGTCGAAGTTGGTTGGTTTTTTATTCTTTCTAACTATTTAAAAATGAGTGGCAAATTTTGTTAAATGGAAACGTAACTTTTGGTGTAGAAGTCAAATGTGGGGAGTTTCTTATTGATAACCATTAACATATGTTTTAATTAATTTTCTACAGAGATCAAGATCACTGTGACGTTTGAGAGGGGAAGTGAAAGCGGTTCTGTTATGTTCAGGTATATAGGCATAATTTGGCTCGATCTTAGGGGTGCTAATTTATAAACAAGTTAAATCATTACTCTGAAAGAAATTGGAACATTGCTCTGCATTATGGCAATCCAATTTCAGTAGGGTTGTATCATTTACCTGTTGGTTATTTTCATATAACCAAAACATAAACGCGGAAGCATAAGTTTGGATCTTTAACCTCGAATCTGATTAAAAGAAAACTTAAACTTGAAATAATGATTACATACCTTGTTCCATTGAGATTTTCAGATCTAGAGACTAGGAAGAGTTTTCCAGTTGATCTCAAGAGTTCTTTCTAAAATCCCCCAGCAATGAACCATACGAATTTCTTAGTGTATTTTCGTGTGTTTTGATTTGCTCCTCATCACATATATTTATAGATGGAGATAAACCCTAATGTGAGAGATGGAAGGGATCTTGAGGATCTTGAGTCAAACCGGGAACTCAACCCACAAGGTAAGTAAATATTCTATAAATCGGTCCATCAACAATTTATACTCTTACCATAATAACTGGATTTAATAACATATCGTACAAATTTATGAAGTGGTCCCATAATTATCCAACAATCTCCCACTAGACCACGAATATATAAACGTACGTATAACTGTATAAGCGCTTTAATGAATGTTATTATAACATTGGTACCCTTAAACCATCTCGTCCACTAATCATAATAGTATAGGATCAAAGCGGCCTTCGTTACAATTTACGTAACTAAACCTCTCAATGGTCACATATACATATATAACTAACGACATAGATTAAACATGATGTGTGGTTTTAAAATCTAAATAGATTTCCAACGAGTTCCTCTTTAGATTGAAGTGAGATCAAACTTCAAATAAGTGCAACTAATAATCGAGTTAACTAAATTCTTAATTCTGTACAGAAAAACATAATTGATCTTAAACAAAACATTAAGCACCATAAAACTCCCACTAAAACCAAATATCACACCAACGTGTGTAGTATGCTCATGAAAGACCTAGGGAGGTAATCCCTTTATGAGTGGATCCGCTTTCATGGAGTTCGTTCATATGTGCTATATATATATATTACCATTTTGCACTATTGTGTTAACAGAAGGAAACTTGATGTCAATATGCTTTGACTTAATAAAACTTCTGTTGTTGGAATATAACATTGCTGACTTATTATCACAACTTTAATGGTCTTTCAATACCAATAATGTGTAGCCTCGTGACAAATTTTCGCAACCATATTCCACGCTATAAATTATGATGCCATTATGGAAGAAGCTACCAAAGTATATTCCATGAAATGGTTAATCATGCTAAAATGTAAAAGTGTCCTGATATGGATCAGTAACCATTTTGGCATCTAATAAAATCTAATTCTTAATAAAAATGATCTCCAAAACATCTGAATTTCTTGTAGTTGAGCATATAGACTTTTGTTATAGATCCAAACTTGAGTTGCATATATATCTACCTAAAACCAAAAAGATAAATTTACTCCCACTTAATCTGTGATACACAAAATCATCTATTATATTTACCTCGAAACCAAAAGAGAAAAAAAATTGATGAAAAATGTGGTACCACGCATAGGATATCCAAAGTTGAGGTTGTTGAGTTTGTGTATTTTGAATAAGAGATTGAATAACATTGTCGATCACTTTTCCATAATTTGCATACTATCGAAAACAATAATAGGAATCAAGATTGATTCCTCCTTAAAGACAATGTTTTAACCTTGTTTCTCCCCCAAACTCAACATCCTCAAAGAGTGTTACTCTATCCAAAAATGCAAGGTCAATACTCATACAATTGAGAACTAACATAATGCCCTCATTCCATTCCTTAAAGTTAATCTCATTGAGTACATGACTCATAAATGTGATCAATGTTCACAAATATAATACCATAATTCAAACATAAGCAACTCTATTTTTATGCTCATTAATCCATAAACCGTAATCAATAAATTCAATTTATGACATCTTTATAAGGTATCAACACAACATTAATATCAAGTCTTTGGACAGTAATACTAACTTGTAAGAGATAACCTTATTTTAGAGATAAACATTGACAATAAATCATGTCAATTAACAAGCCCCTCTTTGGATTGACTTATTAATTACATTGAACCAAAAAATCGCCACATGTTTATCACCACATATATGTTTATTCGGCCAAATATCAGTCTACCTTTGGGTCGGCTAATACCCGCATTAATAAACACATAAACTATAAATTTTGATAATAAGAATTGACAATATATCTTGTCAATTAATAAGTTTATCTTTGGATTGACTTCTTAATGACATGTAACCTAAAAATTGTCATATATTTATCATCAAACATGTGTTTATCTGACCAAACATTAATCTACCTTTGGGTCGATTAATATCCGCATTAACAAACACAAACCATAAAATTTAAGTTCTATGTAAATTAATTTTCTCAAAAGATATCACTTTGGTGATATATTGCCTCAATTAATTTACACTGAAAATAAATAAACATGTCATAATTTAAGTTTATTGATAACCTGAAATATTTGTCAAATTGTGACATTGTGTATAAGGTATGTCTTTAGGTGGAACACAATTCACATAAGAAAATATCGAATAACCAAAATTTTTAAAATAATTGAGATTACTTGAGTAACAACATTATATTGATCACAAACCAAAAAAAATGATATTTATAAACCAATGATTCTTTATTGGATTTTATAAAATAAAAAAAATTGTTAATGTTGTTACAACCGATAACTAAATGATTAAAAAAAACACAACATTAACGAAATATGAGTACTTATTTAACAAATACATGGGCAGAACTTATAAAATCCAAAAAGAAAAACACTATAAAGTGTTTGAAGTTATCTTTTAACACTATCCCTCGTAAGAATATAAAGGTGCATAAAAGATGAATAAATTAACTATTAATTCCCTTAATTTCTTAAATTATCTCAAGGATAACTTTCAAATTTGAAAAATATGTATAACATATAATTGCTCAAAATAAATAAACCATTTTGAAATTTCAAAAGATACCGTAAAGCAAGCATTTTGATCTCTCTTGGCTGATAAACTGTTAATATCTCATAATTTTTATTTATTGACAACCCAAACAATAATTTGGTGATTGAGACAATAGCCAAGGAAAAATTTTCAAAATCTTTGAGATCATTTATTAATTTGATTATAACTAAAATTAATGACGACCAACAGTGAAGTCTCATTAATAATATTAAATGTTTATATATACTAAACAAAGAGCATGGTAAACAAAAAGGAAAGCGGTAATGATTAGTCTAAACAGTTGAAATCAAAAGGCAATAAAATATAATATTTGTTCCTTTTGGTTAATACCATGATTTGTTTACAAGAAAATATTTACGACTACAAGACGACTAGGAGAATTAAGATCAACTGATATTTCTTTTCTACTTCACATCGAAAAACATAGTTGTTTCTTTATTCTAATAACAACTTTGAAGTTTCAAGAAATCTCATGGCCTTACAGGTATGTTTAGTTCAAAGATTAACCAAACCCAAACCAAAATAAAATTTCCAATAATAGATTCGAGAAGGCTCTGATACCAATTGTTGGTTATTTTTATATAACCAAAACATAAACGCGGAAGCATAAGTTTGAATCTTTAACCTCGAATCTGATTAAAAGAAAACTTAAACTTGAAATAATGATTACATACCTTGTTCCATTGAGATTTTCAGATCTAGAGACTAGGAAGAGTTTTCCAGTTGATCTCAAGAGTTCTCTCTAAAATCCCCCAGCAATGAACCATACGAATTTCTTAGTGTATTTTCGTGTGTTTTGATTTGCTCCTCATCACATATATTTATAGATGGAGATAAACCCTAATGTGAGAGATGGAAGGGATCTTGAGGATCTTGAGTCAAACCGGGAACTCAACCCACAAGGTAAGTAAATATTCTATAAATCGGTCCATCAACATTACCTGTTCATTTTCCCTTATAATTGACAAAAAAATAAGTTATAACTTTTGTAGGCAAATGAAGTCTTTAGCATCAAACTTATTTGCCTGAGTTTAAATAGAATAAGCATCTTTGACATTATATATTTTCAACATTTTCTACCTTATCTTTGTGACATTATTGTTGAAATATAGTTACTCATAATTATTACATTGAACTTTTTAGTGGTTTATACATTTTGAGTGAGGGACATCAATATTATGAACTTTCATGTTAAGTATAGTAGCTAAAATAATCATATTTGGTGAATTGTTGTGATATATCATGACTACTACCGGATTGTTTTGGCCTGTGTTAGGATGTTTTGGGTTGGAATGTTTTGTTGAGAGACTATTTTCAACACATCTAATTTGTTTACTAATAAACATATGTAACATAGTAACTTATTTTAACAGATAATGGCGTAAATAAACAAAAAAAAATATTCAATAACTTTTCTTTAAAAACAAATTGTATAATGGGTTTTCAGTAAAAGGCGAAAAAAGTAAAGTTTTTCTAAATTTGAGATTTGATATTTTATTACAAAAATATTTTTCGCTAATTGCCATCTGCTTTTGTTAAACATGGGGATGAATTTTGGGAACATTTTGCAGTTTTTATGACATCATTAGTAAAAGTTGAAAATTCGGAGTCATAACACACTTTTTTGTTGCAAGTAAGACTTTTGAGAGGTGAAATTAAGGAATCGTAGGATGATGATATATATTACTTTTGAGCAATAGTTGTAATTCTGGAAATAATTCTAAGAGGAATATTTCCAAATGCAAAGGTATTTTTTGCATAAATTACAAAAAAAAAAAAAAAAAAAAAAAAAAAAAAAAAAATGATATCAAGCGTACCCTTGATTTTGCTTTTTTTCCGTTTTATAGCATTAGCCCTAAAAATTTGCTTTTTGTCGCTTTTAGAGGAAGTTATTGCGGAAGATACAGAAGAGAGGTTGCGCTTGAACTTCAACTTCATGAAAGTCGGGTACTATTATGACTTTTTAATCACTTGAACAATACTTTTAATCAAATACCCTTGAATTTTGTACTCTTTGAGTTATACTTTACTGTGAGATTGCTTTTTTTTTTTAATGGATCATAAACATACAACTTCCACAGATTCATTTTTCAAAAAGGAGTCGTTACGGTTCTAATGCTAGTGATTCATGTCATGATCACTTAGTTAACGGTGTATCAGCCAAGATGCCACATGTTTTCTTTGATTCTTATTGAATAGATTGCAAAACATGCATTTATCACCTAAAAACTAGTGGTTTATGTGTGTTTCAGGTAAAAAAAATCCTAACCCTCTTACCCTCATGTAATAGTAACGTACTTGCATTTTGTTTTACCGAAAATAGCACCGTGTTACCATAAACTGCTAATGATTGCAACATCTACTTCCACCAAACATCAACCAAAAAAAAATATGACCCATGCAATACACGGGCCTCTTCACTAGTTTGGATAAAATTTCAACTCGTGGAATCATTGATAACAGTAAAAAGTGAATTTTATTTTGTTTATTTTGCTAGATCGGAATTCTCAGCGTGTTTGGATGTGCGATTTCAAATAGATGATTACCTTTTTTTAAATCTCTGATAATAATCTTGACTTTGCTATGTTTCTCAAGCACTTCGCCACAATTCCGATCACCGAAACTGAAATTAACCGCCAATGTTTTTGAAATAGTTTCGACCGTATCAACATCGTTTTCAGTTGTGTTTGATGTGTTTTCTGGTGCACTATTCCACTAACCCTTCATTCCATCAAATATCTACTCACTATTTTTTTTTTATCTTTTTATCCTTTTTTTTTCTATTTTAATAAATTTGTTATAGATTTTTTATAAAAACTAGAAAAGTGACCCCGTGTTGCGGGGTCGGATTTCGATTAAACCATTTCCAAAAGGAGTTTACATCGACTACATAGTTTATTGATTATTCGGGGGTTAAAATGTTTAAAGGGTAAAGTCGACTGGCTTTGCTTGTAGATTGCAAGTCAAGTAAAAACCAATGTTATTGTCATACGATCAGCGCCTCTGTCTAGGTTGAATAAGAGATTCTGAAAAATCGAACAACGGAAAACAAATAACCATTAGAAGAATCAAACCTCTGTACTTTCATTTTTACATTTACTGGTTTATTTTCAATCCTTCTATTATTTACGCAGCGTATTTCGAAAAATCTTTCTGCCAAAAAAGAATTAGGGTAATCATCTAGCTATATCTTCTTTTTACCCTTTTTCTTACTAAAACTTCACCACCTGTCAAAAGACACAAATACCCTTATTAGTGACTAAAGTATGGGAAAAATAGATTGTGTTATTTATTTTACTGGTGGTTTCTTCTGGGGATGATGTTGTCATTCAATCCCAATTCAACAGGAACAAATAGTTTCCATACAGGCGGATGAACAAAAAAAGACATTTCTTCAAACAGGTTGTGGGCACAAGCATATATATCACATCATTTTGAACGTTTACGTTATTAAGGGGTACTTCATCTGTTTTCATACGTTATTGAGATAAGAAAGTATGAAGAAAAAAATAAACCTCAACAGCAGCTGATACTCCGACCTCTTCCATATTTTCTCTGAAGGCATCACGTATGGTAACAGCTAAATGAACTAATGACTCATGGGGCCCACATTCTCGATTCTTAGTTACTCATGTTACATGTAGAGCATCACATAACACAAGAAGAGCCCCTCCTTTCATGTTAAGTAATTTCTATGAATAAGAGCCTATTGATAAAGCATCAGTGATAGTTCCCTCTGCAGAGCTTTAAATAACCAGACACTTTCTGCCAAGAGCAAATTGGTGATTTAGTTTAAATGTCGCAAATGCGAAAACCTGCATCAAAGGTGGTTAGTTATCTGTGCCTTTTGCAGGCCATCCACAGCTTCAATTGTCATTCTCCTATCCAAACAAATGATTTCCTCAGACTCCAAGCATTTGTTGTAATAGTATAATGCATCATCTACCTCACCTAGAAGTAAACGACAACTGGATATAGGATATAAAAAGAAAATTAGATTATGATTTTTCATATGTAATAAGTAACTGAGAGATAGAAATGTTACTTTGCTAATCCTCATTTCGTCTCCTCCAGATATGTCTTCACCCATCTTTGTCTGCAGAAACGAAAAAAGAAATCGAGTAATCAAAAGCAAGCTGTGATGGTTAGGCTTTAGGTTTGGTCGGCTTCTTAGTGTCGGTAGCAGTCGACGGTGGTAGCCGACACCACTGATAGCAACGGAAATATGAAAATCAAAGAACGAAGGAAAGAGGTAGATTGGTACAGAGACGAACCACCCTTCGCCATGGAAGCACCTCTATGATTTTGCCCTGGAAATCCATGGGAAGGCAGACATCAACCTCTAAGTGAATAGATAGGTAGTCGATTTGGTACCACGGTGATGGTTAGTGATAGAAAGGATGCCAATGAGTTCAGATAGAGATCAAAGGGTTTTGGAGAAGCGGCGGGAAGTGGAGGAATTAGAAGAAGATAGAGGAGAGACTGTCGGTGGATAATCCACAGTTCTGTAACCTTTTGATTGGAGAGTAATAGCGGTAACAGAGATGTGTATGGTGAGAAATAATATGGAGGAACTGTTTGTGTTGGTGAAAGGTTTTGAGAACGAAGGATTCCCAGAGATGTTGAAGAAGACGTTGCAAGGGAGAAACAGGAAATGGAGACGTTTCTGAAATGATGAATCGGCGAACCCTGAGTCGGTGATCCTGGAAACACTGGAATGGGGATGTTATCTACTGTTGATAAAGCCAGAAATGAAGCCTGATTGGTAGATAAAACGGTGAGGCCACCTGTACACAAACTACCTACATAATGACATAAAATTACTGTAAAAGAAAATAGAATTGCAACCTCACACTTTCAACTTTACTATTCCTAGCTTTATATATATATATATATATATATATATATATATATATATATATATATATATAATATATATATATATATATATATATATATATATATATATATATATATATATATAAAAGGTAAAGTGAATATACCTAACAACTTTATATAAGCTTAGGGATCTAACCACATTATACTATATTGTTTTGCATTATATTTAAATTGCAATCGTCTAAGGTTCTTAAACTTCAACCCTTAACTTGATTTACTTCCAAGATTTTCAAACATTTACCATTATATTCCTCCTACACCATTTGATTTGTAACGGCAGTATATGAAGCCCACCAGGAGGTCTCCGATAGAAAGACATCATTTGAAGGAAGATAATGGTAAAAGTCCAAAGATTTTGGAAACAATCAAGTTATAAGGTTGAATTTTAAAAATTTTGGGTGATTACAATGCAGATATGATACAAAATTTCTAGTATATATATATATATATATATATATACTAGAAAACTTTGAGGTCCGTGCTAAGCACGATCCAAAAAAAAGATAATTTGTGTATATTTTTTAAGGTATCTAAAGTATGTTCTACTAAAAACGAAAAAGGTTAAAGTACAATACTACAATATATTGCTTGAATCATCTAGAGTCTAGACCAACCATATGAGCAGAAAAGATGAACTCTAGGTTTGTTAACTTTGAGCATCTTCGCCTATTAAGAATCATGAGAAAATGAATTAAATTGGAAAATATGTTTTGCTTGATTTATAGATATGCAAGCTATAATACAAAGGTTATTCATTGCAAAATTAGTATGCATTTTGTTATAGAAAAACAAACACCAACCATTCTCTTCATTGCATTAACACAAATATGTTGCGTAAAAAACATAATAGAAAACTTTGGCATCAAAGAACTTATAAATTATCTTAAAGTATATTAGAGCTAAATTATCTTTAGAGCTAACAATATACATATACTTTATGGTGTTTTATAAGGTATGTAATGTCGATTTTTTCTCAAATGATTGTTTAAGAGCATCATTGAGTTTGACATTAATTTTGCCTTTTTATCACAAAAAAACATGCATAATATATCATTTTGCATTGAATACAGTAAGATTGAGTTTCATGGGAAATAATATTTTTCTTAAAAAACCAAAAGTACTATCAGTTGCATCAGTCCAATTAACATGACCCTCTATACTAAACACGTTCTGTAGATCAGTTACATGTGAAAGAAAGAATGAAACAATAATTATTAAGTGAATAATCAAGAAAATGGCAAACTTTAACCAAACTTAAGCAAGAAATCCCTATCTTCTACTGATATCTAGAAGCTTCTTATTTTATTTTATTTTTTTGACATTAACATATAGATATCAGTTTTTGAAAAGTAGATATCATATCATTTACATGAATGGGTGGTTTTTCATAATTATGGAAATATAAATACAAATAGTTTCCAAATTTGATCATTTTTGAAAAGAAAAGGGCATAAACTATAAAACTAATGACAATTAGGTCACACAGGAAAAATAAAAGGAAACAAACCAACGATAACAAACAACCTTCCTTGAAGCCTGTGAAATCAGTAAAAATGTTATTATGACATTAATGCTTAAAATTTTCAATATAAACTTGTCCACTTAGTACTTGCGAAGGAGAAAGATTTCCAGAGTTACAGTAGCATGTTTATGTTCCCTTATTTGTAGGAATCTTTTCCTAGTAGTGCAACCAAGGATGCTTGCTTGGTGTTAACGGTAGAAAATCAGTAAGCCTAATCAGAGTTCTCTACATTGGTATTCACAATTTGATATCCATCGGATAATTAGGGTTTTAACATCCAATCTTGGATTAATCCTACACAACAATAACAAAAGTCGAAATTAAAATTAAAATCAAATTAGGGTTCTGTAGATATTAATGTGTAATTATACATACCCGAATTGAACATAGGCACCCTAAGGAACGACTTTGAAAGTCGTCATCGCTGTAAATTGATTCAACGATATACTCAAAGCCACTGATCGACACCACTGACGCTTGTTGTTCTCTTCCACCAGAAATTCAAATAAAATAGGCATAGATATTGGTGTTGGCGATTGAAATTGAGAAGAAGAAACTTAAGCATTTAGATCGATTTGACGAATTATGATGATAACGATGATTAATCGGGAAATGGGTCGTGGTGATGGTATCGAATGAATAAAAAGGATTCAGACGATCGATGGGGATTAGACAGAGAAAACGGGGACCAGGCCCCGAAAAATAAACTGGTTGACCAGGCTTCACTTTCTGTAGCTCTCGCTTTTCACCCTCCATGGGTTAGAATAAAGGTTTGGGATTTATTATACGGGGATGATGGTTTTCGGCGGAGGGAAACGGTGGAATGGGGTGGTTTCAAATGGCTGAAACATCAAGGTAACGATTCTCCAAAGTGTTGAATATGTGTGTCGGATAGTTTCGAAGAGGGAGAAAGAAGAGTGTTAATCGAAATTATGGAACATTGCGTCTGTCCAAAAATAGATGACGTGGAGTCTATAGAAGGGTGCGATTTTGATTTAGAAGGCACCAGAAAAAATTAAGGTTTTTATATATAGTAATAATATATATATATATATATATATATATATATATATATATATATATATATATATATATATATATATATATATATATATAGGGAAAAGTGAATATACCCTTAAGGGTATATAAGCTTAGGTACCCAAATTCACCATATCACGTTGTTTTGTGTCATATAATACATTCTAATTGTCCACTATTCTTATAATTGAACTTCTAACTTGATTTACTTCCATGATTTTTATAAATTACATATTTATCTTTCTCTTATATAATTTTTATTTTCAACTACAATATATAGCCTAATAGTGGTCGACAAAAAGATTTGATCTAAGAGGAAGGTAATAGTGAAATTTCGAAAACCTTGAAAGTAAATCAAGTTAGGGGTTGAAGTTTAATAACATTATAATGAATATATCAAACAAAACAACGTATTATGATGTGTTTGGGTACCTAAGTTTATATACCCTTAAGGGTATATATATATATATATATATATATATATATATATATATATATATATTAATTTCATTTCAGTCAATTATCTTAAGTTATTTTAAATCATATTATAATTTGTTTACTTATTATTGTTTTTCTAATGAAAAAAAATCCTTCTTTTTGTTTTATTTGAATGTATGTTTAATCTTGTTTTTTTTTTTTTAATTTTTTGTTGACGTTTTGTTTTGTTTTTTTTTTTTTTTTTTTTTTTTTTTTTACATTTTAATATTTGGTTCATTTACGTTATTTAATCATAATTATTTAACATTTTTTTCGTTTATCCGAATAAAGATTTTATGAGGAATATTGGTATTTAGAACTTGAAAAGTATTTAGGAATGGACACACATATCTGCATTGAAGCTAGCTATAATTGGTAGATTTGAATCTAATTATTTTATATAATTTTGGTGTTATGATATTGCAGTTGAATTGCAATTGTTACATTGAATAATTTTAATTTGCTTGGGGAGAAACAAAAAACAAATATGGGGTATTTTGATACGACCTTATTTGTAAATTTATTTTGGGAAATTATCTTAATATATTGAATATAAATGTTATATTAAAAGATAACAGATATTGATAATGATTTGAAATGGATAAATACATATAGATATGTGGCTAAGAGCAAAAGGATATGATTAGGACAAAAATGGAGTTGATAAGGACCAAATTCGAAAAGTTGCCATAAATCAAGAAAGACATTGCGTTGACCTCAAGCATGTGCCACGTCCCAACTAAAGATTTCCATTTCAACACCTAAGCTCATAAGAATGCAACGAGACAAAGCCCTCTACACAACGCCTCTTCGTTATTTCTATAAATACTCGACCTTTTTATCGTAATTTGGTGTGGAACATATACCAGAAAATCCTATGAATAATATTCATCAAGAGACTCTTTTGGGTTTGATTTCAAGGTTGGAGAAGCACTTTGGATGGAAGATTTGAATAATCGGAAGCTAGGAGCTTTAGGACTTCACTTCAGTTTGCTTTATGATCGTGTTTAGCAATTCGTTTTTGATGTTTTTATGTTCTTATTAACTTGTTATGGGATAAAACTTTTTTCTTTCATGTAACAGCCCAAAAACAGGAAAAAAAAAATTCATTTTCAATTAAGAATTACAACCATAATTTGTTTCCAAAATCCATTACAAAATAAGCATGTCAAATAATCAGAGTAACAACATCAGTAAGTGTGGAAAATAGTGGAGAGTGAATGATGCGCCATCAAGTCGGGCCCTTCCCTTTAGTACCGGAAGTACCTGAGACCACAATACAAATTGTAAACAAAAGCTTAATGAGTTTTCCCCAAAATACCACATAACATTCAAACATATTTCATGGGCTACCCCCATTGTCTTTTCCATTGAAATGTCATGGGTTACCCCCATGGTCTTCCATGCCATGGGCTACCCTCATGGTCTTACATACAAGTGACACAGGCTACCCCCGAGGTCTTTCAGACAAGCAACCACATAGACAATTATCATTCCACATGATAAGTAATAAGCCGACCTTGGTGCCTTCGACCCCAAAAGTACGGTGAGGAAAACTTACCTCGCAAGCTGAACAGAAGTTGATGAGGTCTTGACTCCGAGTCTCAGCTCTCTAATCGAAACCTATTCCCACCAGATGACCAATTTCCATCAAAATCCCAAAATCCCCTTAAGCTCAAACTTCGTCAAAGTCAAAGTCAACTATCCTTACATCGTAACCAGATATTGGTCACATCATGGTAGCGAACCCGATCCGATTCCCCACTTGACTCAACCCAAACTGGTTGACTCAGCCAAAAAAACCACCTAAGATAGAATCACGACGTGAGCACCCATTCTCACATCGTGAGATCGAAGGGTTCTAATAGAAATGGGACTACTCTGATTCTCACGTTGTGGGATCTTACACCTCACGCCGTGAACATTGTCTAAGGCTAAGGGTCACCATTTTAAGTCCTTAATCCATTAAGTCTTCAATTCCACTTCATCCAAAAGCTAAATGGGACCCCGAAGGTCCATAAAAAAATTTCCTTTATGGCCATGCATGCACCAAACATGATCATCCATTTTCTAGGTCAAAAAGGGAACAAATGAGCTTCAAATTTGCATGCATGCCTCAAATCTATACCAACTCCCAGATATAATGCTCTTGGGACTCTTAGAATCCATAAAGTTGCCAACTTTATTGATCTTCTCCACTCAATCATGCAATAACATCAATAAAATGAACAAAACTCAAGATCTATCCATGATAAGCAATAAAGTTAGAGCCTTTGGTACTTATAAGGGTCTAAAAGTAGGAAAAGTTGATGATGATGTTGATTCTTTTCCCACACCCACACTAGAGCACTTCATTCTTCTTGTTTTCTTCTTCCCACAAGCTAGAAATGCACCCAAAAGATCTTAAGGAGGGGGTATTAGGGTTTCTGGAGGTCTAGAGAATGAGGGAGGCTGAGGATGAGAAAGCCTAATCCTCTCATTCCTTTAAATACTGAAAACTTCAGGTTTTTGGTCATCAGTCGTCGTCACGTCGTGAGCATTGGACTGCTCACGTCGTGAGCCTTAAAATGATGAACGGGTCCGATTTACTCTTCACGACATGAGAAGGCATCCCTCAATTTGT